CTTTCTTTTATAGCTGCCTGAGAGGGTGTTTTCACTCCACTCTAAACAATAACACTAAAAATGAGCCAGAAAAATACATCAAATTCCAATGAACTGAGCTGATGTGTAATTTATGTTTATGGTACCACAAAGCTATATCAGCATAATGATTAATCAAACAGGGTGAATCAGGAAGGACCAAATAGAAACTCCTGAACTGCTCCAGTAAACAAAGACAGATTGAACTCTCCCTCTCAGAAGGATCCTCTCTATGTAGTCAACCCAGACAGAGATATGTGACTCTGCTATGGCAGCCAGTAAAGTTGAAGTAAATACAAATTTTAAAATAAATTAAATAACACAATTTGGACCTTTGGTTTATAGATGGATTTTTGAATACCAACCATCCATCCATTCGCTTCTGCTCATCCTTTTCAGGGTTGTGGGGGGTGCTGGAGTCTATGCCAGCTGTCATAGGGCGAGAGGCGGGGTACACCCTGGACAGGTCGCCAGTCTGTCACAGGGCTAACACAGAGAGAGAGAGAGACAACCATTTGCACTCACATTCCCTCCTGCATTCACACTTATGGGCAATTTAGATTAGTCACTTAACCTATCCCCACAAACTGCATGATTTTTGAATACATTTAGTCTTTATCAAGCTTTTTGTGATCTCACAATGCTTTATATAGACATCAATGATATCAATAAACTGATTTATTATTTGATTTCATATTGAATATCGCCTGACTGCCTCTGTGCAAGTATGCAAAAGGAGAGAGACAGAAATACTTACTTTTTACTCTACGCAGTAATTATAGTAATAGTAGTAAGTACACTAATAATGTTTTCATGCATTCAGATTGATACACACCTGTTGGATATGTGTGATATTTATCATGATATCAAACCAGCTGTAAAATCCTTGTCACAAAAGCTACATGTCATTAGAAAACTCTGGCATCATGACATTGAGCAGTTTATAAAAGTATTTTTGGTCACATCTTATTAATATTAATCCGAATAATTGCAGTATCAAAAAACAGACCTGAGCTACAACAGAGAGGATGATTAATGTAGCTTTGTTTTTGGCAACAACAATAATATCCAGTCAGCCTCCCCCCTCCTTATTTCATGTTTTGGTTTGGTCCAGGTGCACGTGCTCCCAGCTGATGCTGAGCCTAGAACTGGACCTCAGCAGGAGAAAGAGACAGTAGGATGGGTCCAGTATAAGTAAGCTCTGCTTTTCAAAAGAGAAAAGCAAAACAGCTGGAAATTAAACTCATAGTGAAGTCCATATGAATGAAACTGCTTGTCTTTCCTAGTGTTAGTTAGCTTACCTCATTTCTAACAAAAGCCTCAGGACAGACATATTATTTATTTATGAGATCATCGTTGAACTTTTAGTCTTTTTTTGCAAAACTCATTCAAATGTGTTTGGGTAAAATTATCCACAACTCAAAGACATCACTTAACTACTTATTGACACGTGTTGAGCTCTGGCCTTTTCCAGAGAACTTCACTGTTTGTTTGTCTGAGCATTTATTGATTTATTATATTGTAAAATGACATCATCAGCAAAATGCTTAACAGAATAGGTTACTATACCAGGAAGAGGAAATAGAAGTGTGCGATCATTCTCAGTAAACAAATCCAAAACAAACCCTGTGCACACTTTTTATTGCAGTGAACACATATAAATGAAGTGATTGTGGCCGGCCTGTTCAGAGTCAATAAAAAAGAAAGACTGTCTATGTAACTGTGAGAGTTATACACTTAATCACTCTATACATGTCTATATGCTAAGTTATACAATTAATCTTTAATTTTTGTTTTTACTTTGCCACTTTATTTACAGCTTGTACAAATGTTTAAATGCCCTTGTGTCTATTACATTTTTTAAATAAACCAAACTAAACAAAAAGATTGCAGTAAATAGACTTTTAAACTAAAGCAGATCATAACCACTGCTGTGCCAGCTAGGCTGTCCTGCAGATATTTGACACTCATGTGGGGGGTTTGTGTCACTTTCTCCCCTAAATTGTGAAGTTCAGCCTTAAAACTTTCTTCATCTTCCAGCTTTCATCTTAACTCCCACCTTATTGGTTTAAGTTTTTTAAAATAACATTTCTGACAATGAAAATTGACAGTTGGAGGTGCATTTCTATCTTTTTATAGCCTTTCAGTGGTTTTATTTAAATTATTTTTAAAATGACATGTCTGACCGTGGTTTGTATAGACAGAGGTCTTTAGTGACTCTACGTTGGCCTCCATAGTTAACTCATTTTGATGAGGCTTTACTGTTATAAAAAAAGGAGAGTGGAGAGCTCACGTTTTAAAATCTGATCTAAAGGTTCCACTTTGCCAAGAAGGACCTTTATGATACAATAAAACTACAACAAAGTGCAGGTACTAGGGCAGTAGTATTTAGTTACCTGAAAACATTCCTACAATCAAATTTTAGATTGTAGTAACACACATTCATCTGCCTATAAGATTTAACTGCTCATTAATCGAGGGAACCAGAATACAGTTCAGGATCCTTCCAGCCCACTTTAACCGCTGGTCATATTTAACATAAGCTTGAAAAACAGTCAAACCTCTTCTTTAGATGTTACCTTTACAGGCTGCGGCTGTAGACACTCACTGCTGTACCTCTCTCCTCTCCTCCTCAGTGATATTATTCTGTGTGTGTTTTTTAGGATGAAGCCAAACTATAGATCTTAACTACATTAGAGTTTTTTCTGGTAACGATAAAGGTAGATGTGAATAATCTCCATTTGTCTCCTTTTGTAATACTTAGTGTTTATTAAATACCACTCATGAAATGTGATTACTGATGTTGCAGACATGTGTCTCGTAACCCCAGAGATACACAATGGAGGCACTGATCATGAATTTTTATTTATAGCTTTTCAGTCCTTTTACTTTAGAGCAGTTTTAAC